GACTGTATTTTACAAAATACTAGTCTACTAAAACACAGCCAAGAAAAGTTACTTTGTACAGACCAAAGGTCAGTCTTATGTTACATCAGTCTTGATACGGTAACATGACTGCACGTGAGCCATGTCAACGTAACTTCTGTATTGTTAGGCACGAGTGAAAAGTCAATATAATAAAAATAATAAATATATATAAATGTATAATGTTATGAGATATAAGCTATTTCATCTAAACATATATGTTTTCGTGTTAAAATTTCTGTTCATTCTAGAATGAAAGTGGCATAATTTATGTTTATTTCCTAATTTTTTATGGCGGTTGCGAGATCATTCAAATCTACTGAACCCATACAGAGATTAATTACTGAAAATAACAGATAAAATATAAAGTTTTTCTTAAGAAATGTTTGATAATTATCCGAACATTATAAGGATTTCTCATGTAAAATTTCAAAATTTTCTGATGCATAAAAGTATTTTTAATCTTAAAATAAACATTACTTTGCACGATATATAGGCAAGATGTAAAAAAAAGGCATGAGAAAAGCATTGCTTTACAAACCTTACGACGTAATAAAAAAATTAGATATTTTGCATATGAAAGCATCGTAATGTTTACTGATAATCTGCCAAATTTCATTAACATTCGCTTAATAATTTAAAAGTTATAGCACTAAAAACTATAACAAGCACAAAATGGTTAAGAGGTCGTCACACTGACCGACCCTGTATTGAAAGAGTTAAATGCTGATTTTTTCATATTAAATATTTCTTGTCTAAAATTGGCTTTATTAGTTTATAGACTTACTTTATAGTTCTGATTACATGATTAGCTTACTTTTGATTAGAAGTTAATAATAATGACTAATTATTTCATCTTGAATAAAATAAGAAATTACTTTAATTTAAAAGCTGTCCTGTTTGCTTACTGATTGCAGAAAATGACTAAAAGTAAAAACAAAATTGTATTCACTTTATGTACAATATATTGTTTATAATGCAAATTAAATATAAAAAAATTGCCAAATTAGGCTTCATCTTAAACACCTCATAATTTGTTCACCTATAAACCTACATGTTTCAAACAGTTCTGATTTGAATTTGCAAGAAATCGAGATAATTATTCAAGCAGTTTTTTCAGTCACATAATTTCTACCATAACAAAGAAATCTTTTTAACTATTTGTATATCCAGTGACTAAAATCAGCTTCTTTAAAAGTTACCAAGCAAGAAAGACATACTGTAGTAGCTGGCCAGTCACATTTACTATAAATAATGTAAAAGTTTAACTCTGTTTAATGAATGTTTATACTATATTTTTACTCAAAGTACATCTATTTTGATGTTCTTCCTGATCCTAATTTTGCTATCTTTTCTCCATTATTGCATATTTTTTATTGTTTTGTTCTATCAAGAGTTCAGCTAAAACTTAGATCCTAAGCTATACAAATGTCACGCTCTTTTGCTCTTTCATAAATATAACTAGATTAATGTTCATTTGAAAATGTACTTCTGTCCTACATACATTTATAAAACTAATAATTCTGAAAGGATCAATCTACCAAACATTTCATAGGAAGATAACATGTTGTGTGTATACCTTTAGGCCTCCACATCTCCGGCTAAGCATCCTATTGCGTCTATTAGTCCATCTCTTCTCTTCATTATCATCATGGTCATTAAGACCAAAAAATGAAATTGTTTCCTTTTGAACATACCTATGTGTAAAGCACAACATTTTTTTAAAAATTTTCCAAGCTTACTGTTACAAAGTCTTTACTTTTGTTTAACAAAAAAACAAGAAAATATTTTTATCTAGTTATTGGTCATAACTAAAAGAATACAGATGGGCCATGCATTCCCAATCAGGAAAACCAATGAAATTCCATTGCAAAGTCAAAATCAATGGGAATGTGGGAATGTAATATTTCAATCCCTGTAAATATCATAAAAACCTAAGTGTGAAGAAATTAAATGGTTTTAATTCATACATATTTGTAAAAGTTGCTTTTGAAAAAAAAATGTTTACATGATATTTTATTATTCTATATAAATAAACGTCAATGTGTGTGTATCTGTTCCTTATATGTTTCCACATCTCTTGATCAATCAACACCAAACTTGACAATGATACAGGATGACATAAAGAGGGTTGTACCCCACCCCATCTAATTTCATATCTAATTTTGGAAAACTACCAATGTTGTATATCTATCAGCATTAGAATCAACTATATACCCACGATTGTTAGAATTCTTGAAAAACAGTATATCTTTCTTTTCAGTATTGGTGCCTTTATGTATTTTTATTGCACTTTCAATGTTTATTATAATAAGAAAAAAAAATAGAAGTACAATTTCCTATCCTTTGTTACAAATGAGTTTTTATTTCACCCATCCAATAAATGGGTGCTCCAGCTAGTCACACATATATAATTTCTTTCATTACAAAATGTTTACTTGCAGATAAAAAACAAAACAAAAAAACTTTAATCATTTTCTCATGAATTATATATTAATCCAAATATCAGTATTTTTGTATAAAGAAATTGGGGCAAATGTATTCTGAAGTAATGAAATCTTATTCAGTAGGATGTAAAGACTTCAATGTATCAACAAGCATGAAATTCACAACTTACTTTCTTAAAGACCTGGATCGTGCTAGAGCCTTTTGCTTCATGGATTGATAACCCGAAACTGGCCTTTGTTCATCCGAGTAATGTTGTGCAGGTGGCCTTTGCAACACAATGCTTTGATTATCTCCACTGTCCATTGGGTTTTCAGTAACTTTTAAAACATTTTGTTTATGCTGTATTCGGTCAGTGTCTTTTTCACATGCTGTCTGTTCCATTTTGTGGGACAGCATCAGCTATAAATTGTATACAATAAATGTTACTGAAAACTAAATCCAATAATGATCAAATAACATATACAGTACAATTGGAAAATTAATATCTTTAAATAATTTAAGTTTTATGAAACTGAAATTAGTCTACACGTACATATATGCTATTCCAGAGAAACTAAAGTTACATTTCCTATGAACTTACTGATAAAATCTCACAGCCAACTCTGAAGTACAATTTTAGATATCATTTCCATGCTCAAAGCTGATAACAGCATATACATGTATATCATTTGATATAAACAAGGAACTCAGAACCAACCTGTACAAACTGAATTACACAGGACAAACATATGTAGGAGAAATCACAATACATATACATTTTGCACTATGTGTGTGTGAATAGAACTGTTACCTTGACTACACATTCATAGATTGTAGTCATGTGAACATTGTATTACTAAAATAGAAGAACACCTTTGACAACAACTTTCTTATAAGGTACGTATACATTGATCTAAATCACACTATCTATATATTTATTGTTGATAATTATTTATGCCTTTGTTCTTACATGCTGATATTTAACACAGGTGTGTGTTATAAACTCTTAGGGGATATATATATATACACACACACATACAAACAATGTGTTATATTTCCTTAAAATTACAGTATTTAAATTTTCAAATAAATGGAAACAACATTATAATAAAAAGAATGCATGATACTACAACCTATTTGATATTAATACAAACACGTAAAAAAAAACATACTCCATAATATGCAGCAGACAGATTTTAATGTTTATCACATGAGATAAAATTATATCAATAACAGGATTAATACAACAAAAAATATATGTAACCAATAAAGTAATAAAAAAATAATGTCCTTCATAATTCAAGTAGGAGTTATAATACAGAAACAATGTTGTATGCCAAAGTGCAGTACGTTAACAATGGCAGATTATGGAGCTGATAGATTGCCTATTTATTAAGAAGCTATCCATTATTTTACATCTTTAAATACCACTAAGAATGTTATGCTTTTTTGTAATAAAATTAGTATTGGTAACTAGGTATAACAAGTTTGATCAATAAGTATCTTTTTACAAAGAATAATAGGATTTTTCTCAATAGGAAGAAAACAGACTTCACTGAAAGTGTAAATTAATTGTTAGATTGTAATTTAATTTAATTGTAAATGAACATTTTATTTATGAATACTTTAGTTGATCAGTCTCTTAAGCCATCCAAACAGTGTTCTAATGCTAGTGGTAGGTCAAATAGGATTTAGGTTTTATTTACAGAAATATTGAATACAAGTCTCAAGATATTATAATTTCACATTGTATAGGCCACTGCTTAGGCCTCATTTAGAGAACTTTGTCAAGCCTTGAGCTCCTTACCTTAAGAAGGACACTGAATTGTAGGAAAGGATTCAAAGGAGGACTACTAGGATGATACCTGGGATGAAAGGTTGTCACATGAGGACAGGCTTTCTTTTGAATTTAGTTTCACTTAGTAGATGGAACAGACTTGATGGATCAACAAGCCTTCTTCTTGTCCTTAAATATTATCAGATATTAAATACATTGTTAGGCCTTTTAACATATTCATATTTTTGTGTACTTGCATTTTATATTGCTTTTTTATGATATGTTTCTTGTAAGAAGTTTGAAAGATGTTTTGTTTCATCACAAAAATGACTGCTGACTAATCTTTACAATTATGTGTTACATTTATAGCTATGGAAGATCTACACAGATATTTTTCTGAGTGATTCTTAAATATACAGATGCAAGATCAAACTCAACATGGTTGCTCTGTTATACAATTATTGTGATTTTTTTTCTTTATTGTTGAATACTATGATGGGCCTCATACTTTTTATTTTGTCTAAGGCCTCACAGTGGCTAAAGCCAGTACTAGTCATTTCAGATAAGTTTAATGGCTGAGATTTATGACAAAATCTTAGTTAATTACATAGAGTTTGTAAATTAGTTTATGTCAAGTTAGAGTAAGAAGTGAATTAGTACACTGTAATAATTTTTAAATAATTATGAAGTTGTAGTTTGCCAATCAATGATATTCATGGAAATTGTATAAGCTATGTTATACAGATGTATACAGAAAATTTGGGATATTACATTCAAACTTAAGTTGCTAATCTGCTGCCCTCTTCAGAGAAGTCCTGAGAAGGACTATCATCTGTGATGGTAGTGGCTGGGATTTGATCCTGGGTTTGCTTGATGAAAGTCTGGAGAGTTATCCACTTGAGTGGGATCTCTCCCTCATTTAAAACTTGAATCAATTAACTATTTGAATGTTTTCAAGTGGGGGATCCAGGTTTTGCTGACTTCTAGTCCTATGCTAGGTTAATTGAAGGTGTTATCAGTTAGGTAGATGAAAAAGGCCTGTTTTCTTTTTGATAATGAAGATAAAACCAAGAAGAAAGTTGAAGAAATATAGCCATATTCCCCTCTGTCAGAGGTTTTTCTGAAAATATTTGGAAGATATGTAAAAAATATAAAGTCAAAACAATATTCACAAAGCTTGTCAACAAAATATGAATGCAGTTAGTACACACAAACAACCAAACTAAAGGCCCTATGGAAAAGAAAAAAAAAACGTTTACAGCATCCTCTGTGAATTGAGGTTCCAGTACATTGGAGAAACATAAAAGACCAACAGAAGATAGAATTCAGGATCATAACGGACATACAAGTCTCAATAATACTGATCTTTTTGCAGTAGCCCATAATGGAATAATATTAATGCAACAGGCTATAAAGAGAACTTGAGTTCTTCATCAAGTGTTCTACATATACACTGTTAAGGATGTATGTTTCTTCATTCATCTTAATTTCTTTGGTATTACAAATCTTGTTCATTCTAGAAGAAACTACGCAGTCTATGACACCTTTTTTACATTGTTGGGGTGGTTCGATACATGAGCAAGGTACTTATCCATATCTGTGGGTTTCCAGTAGATTCCTGTGTTATACAAGTTGTGTGTCTTAGAAACCATTATCCTGTGAATTTAGATAAGAAACCTTCTGGACAAACCTCCTGTTCTTTGGAAATCACATACAAAAAATACCAATATGGAGGAGAATTAGAAAAATCTGCACTAACTTGTCATAGGCTACTTTATGATAAAATTTCTCTACTACATCTAGTCAAAAATAAAAAGATGTGACTGCTTACAAATTAATGAAATTATAAAAGCAGGTGATTTAGCCTGAAAGTATTAGGACATGCTCTTAGTCTGTAGGAAAGAGAAAAGGAAGCCTACTTTGAAACAACACTAAAGCATCCTGTTACCCTCACACACAAACACCTTTAACACATCAATACAGTGGTAATAACCCACAACGATGAAAAAGGTAAATAGCCTATCTTAGTATTAAATGCTAGTAGTGTTTATAAAGACATACTTTCTATATTTTTTCATTTCTGTGTTATTTTATAAGCTCATGATAGATACAACGTATATCAGTACTGTCAAATGAAATTAAAGGAGAAAACGTACTGAAGTTAAAAGATTATGCTAGTACAGTAAGACTACACTTTAAGCTGATTTATTGTACAGCTCTATCGTCTGATTGAGAGATTATTTCTTTTCATGAGAGAGAAGAAATTATGAAAATCCTTAACTTTCCGAACACTACTTTTTCATACTAATGGTAGTAGTGCATTAAATAGTTTTTATTTAATAAAATAATGCAACAAAGAATGTAGAATAATAACATGCAAAAAGCACAATTTTTCTGGCATTTCTAGTAATGCAATATGAGCCATTAAAACACCATCCATCCACACAATACTATTCGCATAGGAAAAAAACATTTTCTTAAGAAGTGATCTACAAATCTCAGTACAGAAAACAACGTAATATAATACATCATTTGACAAACAAAAACCTTGCCTGTTATAACTAATATAGTCGTAAATGTAAGAGAGAACTACATGTATTGACAAATCCTGAAAGAGAGGATGTGACAGGTGGACATAGTAGGAAGGGATTGATTTTCTATTTGATGCCTTTGTAACCAAATAAGATTGAAGGCTAATAAAAATTTGCTTTTTTCCAGTGATGATATTATAGTGAGTAATTTACATTAAATTTACCAGTACCTAAATAAAGCACTTATATACCATTCATAGGTAAAAAAAACAATGCTTTCAGTTACATATCTCCATATATGTAATGTTAAAATGACACTGTTTAGAGCTGATTCATTTAGAGCTCTGTTGTCAGAAGCCCTTCTTGAGCACTAAAAGGGGTATTACTATATTTATCCTTTTGGCAGAGTGACCCAGAATGGTTAAGGCCTGTAAACAAAGATTAGTAATAGTTTCATTGTGACATCTACAATGAAGATATAAGCTGTGGATAAAATGATGTTAGAAAACACAAAAAAAACACAGCAGCTGTTTGGTTAATAAATTAGTACATAGAGGAAGATTAAAGATATTTTATTTGTTGAAGTAAGCTTTGAAGGTTGAACAAGAAAACAAGATAATGTACAAGTAATGTCAAGAAATGGCAGAAGAAACAGTACCTGTTTACCAAGTAGTCTATAACCACAGCAATGCTTCTTATCCATTTGTTGATTGTTCAAATGATCTTTATTGCAAAATTTGTGTTGAAAGCAGTGAAATATTATTAAAAATATGTGTCACACAAAGACTGAAAGCATAACTAATAACATACTTGTGCTATTTAGCATTGAGCAAGTTGTGAGAGAAGCTAAAGCAGTAAAATTCTTTAGTTCCATGGAACATAAAATGTATTCTCTGTAAATACAATACTTTGATCCCAGTGAGGGCATTAAAACAAAGCTACTGAATTTCTATGAAAATCCAATGAAACCTCACAATGAATGTATGATAAACTTAAACAGCAAATGAGTGTAATCAATTTAAACATTGAAAAATGCATAAATCTTTGGCAGTGACAATATCAATGCAAATAAGTTTTTATAAACAAAAGGAAGAAACACCAGGTTGAATACATTCTATCTGTCCTGCACATAGCATACATGATGCTGAAAATGCCATGGATTTTAATGTAAAATCAATTGTAATTAATATACTCTCATTTTTCATGCTCTTCTAAGCATGTATCATCAGCAAACAAGTTCTACAATTTTATGGAATATGAATATCAGTATAATCCAATACTATATTAAGTTTCAATGCCGTGGTTAACCTTGCAGCCTGCAACAGAAATAATACTAGTAACTACAAAACTAGACAGATCTGTTACCATATGCATCTAAACTATTGTAGATGATGAAGACAAGTGCAAATAAGTGGACACTTATCTGTTGTTTCTGTAGCTATGCTGAATGATTTCACAACAACATATCTTGGAAAGAATCCCAATGAAGTGACATACTCTGAATAGATTTAAATCACGAACTTAAAAAACTTTTGCAGATACTTTTAAGAGTTCAGAATCATGCTAATAACTTTCTACAGCTAAATTTAAAATAACTTATGGATAAACAAAGAATAAAATGTCCAAACAATTTTGATTATAACTTAACTATTGCTATAGTTTATTTATCAAAGATGTGCAACATTCTGAATACATGTAGTTGGCTTTGAGGGTGTGTTTCTTTTTATTTATTATTATGACTATTTATTAAGTTTAGTATAGTGGATGAGAGGAACAGCCTCATTGGACCGTGTTCCTTGTTGTCCTTAAATATCACGTTATTGAAAATCCTTGAACTCCAGTTAAAACTTTTATTTTTGCAGTTAGTTAAACTTTTAGAAAGTTTTTCCAATTTAAATTATTTTGCTGGTGAAGACTATCTGTTCCATACATATGAAGTAGTGAAGCAGCACTTCGTGAAGTTAATTCAACAAGTGGAGGACAATGAGAAACAAACTGTGAATAACTTGATTTTTTACTTTAAAAATGTTCCCAAATTAATTACATATAACTTGAGGCTTGTTTTATTTTTTGCATTGCTTGTGTTGAAAGAATATTTTCCTTCATGAATAATAAATGGAGTGGTCTGGATCTGGAGTTGGCATCTTCTTACCGATGATTCGCTGTCATGGTGTGCCACGTCTTCCTTTCCTGTGCCACTCTGATGCATCCTGCATAGTCCAGATGTACCCATTCACATATGTCTTTCATCCAATTCCTTCTTGGTCTCCACCTTTGTCTCTTTCCATTGGTCTTGCCCTTTAATAATGTTCTCTGTATTGCCTGCTCTCTGACCACATGACCATAATATCTATATTTCACTTGTTTTAATGTATTAAGTAACATTCTTCTAACTTTGATCCTTCTAAGTACCTCTTTATCTGTGACTTTGTCTTTGTAAGATATTCTCAACATTTTTACATGAAGTGATGTAAGGAACTAAATGCAGCACAGTTTTAAGTTAAGACAAATTTTCAAGACTGAACAAGTGTTGCTATGTATGAAATGATTCAAAACAACAAAGAACTTAATGCTTTCAAAATAAATAAAAAATATTTCTATTAAGTATAAATGGTGTAATTCAGTGTTTTGAAACGTTTAAATGAACATTTGAGAACTCATACTAGAAACCCATGCCCCTGTGGTTATCCTAACAGGAAAGTTCCAAGTTTTTACTTCTGAAACAAATATTTTAAGTATACCGAATCACCCCTGTCCAGATTAAATACATAATTTTCAAGCTTAAAAAAATTATAAGTTTTGACTTTTCTTTTGTGACTATGGTGACTATCTATGGTAATATGAAACTTCTCTAAATGTTTTGCAGACTTTCTTTAATTATAATAAAGCAGTAATTCACAAACAATTGAAGTAAGAATAACTATCGAATTATTACTTGGTCATTGTCTATCCCTACTTAAAAAATGGTGTGACATTTGCTCATCTACAACATTTTGTATCTCACTCCATTTAATGGATTCATTAAAAATTAAGATTAACAACCCACAAAAATCTTCCTTTTATATACATATGATTTGTTTAAATAATGAACAAAAGACTCAATAAAGCCTCTAAACCTCCAGTAGTCAGATTCATAAAATTTTATCACTAAGTCAATTTACAACTAATTTTTAGTCTTATTACCTATACCAAAAGAATCTACAGTAAAAGTAAAGTTTACAATTCCTCAGCATACAGGATCTAACATTTTATTTCATACTGTGTGGAATTTCACTTTTACTTTTATTCATCACCTGTGAAAAAAAAAACATCTTAGGTAGTACTTTGAAAAATAGTCCATTACTAAATCCTTTGATGTAAATATTTGTAATTAAATAATGCCACAGTGAGTAAAGTTATGGTACCAGGATTAGTAGGAAAACTCTCATCCAGTTACAAGTAACAATAAATGAATTATTTTTGGAGTATTTTTGCCAATTATGGCAATACTACTACCACTACCGGTACTACTAGTTGCTATACTATTTTTACAGTTTCAGTAGTTTTACTAATAGTAATAGTATTTGCAATAAACTAATATAATATTATAATATAATACTAGTAGTTATAGTTTAATATTATTAATAATTATTATAAGTTATACTACTAGTAATACAG